CTTGTGTTCCCTCTCTCACCCTGTCTCTCTCTGTCAAATAAATAAATAAAATCTTTAAAAAAAAAAACAAAAGGCCAGTGTCCCCAGAGCCATATGGCCGCCTGGTGTCAGGCCCCTGGGTGGGCTGGAGAACACACTTCAGACACCTCAGCTCCCCTCCCCTAGACTGGTCTCATCCTCCCCATGGCCACTGACAGAGGCCAGGCCAGGAGCACTGCAGTGGCCCCTGGTTCTCACCGGCCTTGAAGATCCACTCCAGGTACCCATTGAGCTCCCGCTCGATCTGCTGCTGCCGGCGAAGCTTCAAGAAGGCCCGGCGGTTCTCGACCCTCTCACGCTCCTTGGCAAACTCTCTGCGTGGTGCAGGGGCCAGAAAAGGAAGCAGACAGGGTGAGTGTGAGCACAGCCACCAGCCCCATGGGTGTGTGGATGCAGAGGCAAAGGGAACCAGGAAGAGGCTGGGACACGACTTGCAGGTCATGGGCCGCCCCTCACCACCATGGCCTCTTCCAACCTGAGCCCTCAGAGGGCCCAGGTGAACCCTCCTTCCTCAGACTCCTCCAGCACACAGGGACAGCACCTCCGTCCCCAGAGGGGGCTCCAGAGAGCTGGGACAATTCCACATCCCCCTGCCCAGAGCAAGCCGAGGCGCACACCCTCCAAGTGCCAGGCTGTCATCTGCATCCTACAGAGATCTTCTGGGCAAGAACTGCCCAGAGACCTTTCACTTTGTTTCTTCTGCTGGTTCAGACCCAGAGCCCTTGCTAGGAGGGGAAGGACAGACAGGAACAGGGCAAGAAGGGACTGGATGGGGGCAAGCCAACGACAAAAGGAAAACATTCCAGAGCCACCTCAGCCAAACTTGTGAGGCTCGCAATGACCAGGAGAGTGATCTCTGCCCTCCTTAGCCCTCAGCAGCCCAGCCCCAGCTTCCCAGACAAGGTTTTGGGCTCACACAGCCAGAAGGAAGCCATTCACACACACAAGCACACAAGCACACAAGCACACCCAAGTATACGTGCACCCAGCATTCAGCAGGGCGAGCCTCTCAGCCCCGGCTTGGGGCAGGAGCCAGGTCCCCAAAGGACAGGTAGGCACACCCCAGCAGCAAAACAGCAATGTCTGTCCTCAGCGAAGTGGCCGTTTCTCCTCCAGGAGAAGCAGCTTCTGGGCTTGGTGCGGTGAGCCCAGCAGACCTAACTCCTGGCACATAGCCATGACAGGAGAGAGAGCTCACCTCCGACCAGCAGTGACCCCAGCTCATGACCAGAGTCCACCAGGGCCTGAGCTGTGGCAATCCTGGCAACGAGCGGAGCCAGGTCCTGCCTGGACCTCCCATCCCTTGCAAACCCCGAATCTGCAGGGACACAGGGCCCCTCCCCTCCTCCCCTCTCCAACCAGCCTCTGTCCCTTGGCCGTGATGAGGGCAGGAGGGCCTGGGGTGCCGGGGTGGGGCAGGGACAACACCACTTGAATCAGTCTGAGAGCCACCAGCAAAAACTTGCTGTAGCAATCTAGGCCCTGCCCAGAGCATCCACTTCTCAAATGGCAGCCAGCAGCAGGGCCTGTCCTCCCCAGGCATCAGTTCTCACTGCTAAGAAAAGCCCCAGGAGGAATCCCTGATCCTGCTCCTCTGGAAGGCTTCGTGGGTGACAGCCTGGGGCATGAGGAAGAACAAGGCTGGTGGGCTCCAAGCCGGCCCGTGGCTGGACGGAGTCCTGTAGGGCGAGCTTTCCCCAGGCCAGGCTGTAGAAGTGACATCTGAGCACGGCTGCCTTGGAATGCAGCCAGCATGGGACCCACCTGTTGTGCGCTGACCGCCGGCTTTCGGGGCCTTGCCATTTCCAAGCCTGCCCAGGCCTGAAAGAGAACCCTGGGTCTGCCTGCTGGGCCTGGAAGCCCGAGGGAGGGCTCAGCTGAGACTAATTAGGAAAATCATCCCGTATCACCCCATCCTCAGAGGCCGGGATGCTCACAGGTGGGAGGAGGGCTGGGAAGTCACAAAGTTCGTGGCCCTGCTCAGTGAGGAGCCCCACAGCCCCAGCCCCCCAGTTCTTTCTGTACATTCTTCAGGGCAAGCCACACAAAGCCACCCTAAGCAGGCTGCTCTCCCAACTCGCCACGAACCCACTCATGTTCCTACCACCTCCCCACCGTGCACTGTCCTCAGCACAGAGCCCACGCTCCCCACAAGCCTGCCGTCTGCCAGCCCCAGCACCCTCTCCCCTCCACACCTTCTGGCTCCAGCTCTGAGCATCCTTGCAGCACACACACTGCAGCCCTCTGGGTACCTCTGGGCCTCCACCCCAGCTCTTCTCTGCCTGGGAAACCCTCTCCCCTCCTTTGCTGAGTTCATTCCTGCTCTCCCTTTGAGTCTCAATGGAAAGGCCCCTTCTCTAGGTGGCTTCTATGAGCTCCAGGCCTCCTCCGGATTCCCCATGCAGCTCAGACCTTGCAATTCCATCAGACTGGAAGTTGTACATCCATCCCCTGTGCTGTGGGTGTGCCTGTCCCTATGGAGGTGCTTGGAAAGACATGCTAGTGACATACCACTTCCAGGAGAGGACTGAGGCTAAGGACATGTTCCAGAGCCAGAGCATACAGGCCGTGGACCCCAACCATTGTCCTCTCAGTGGCTGTTCCTTTCCAGGCCAAAAGGACAGCTGCCCCTTGGGTCCACCAGCCTCTCCCCCAGCCTACCTCAGGAGCCCTGGGCCTGAGCAGGAATCTTCAGGGTTGGCAGGACGGAGATGTTCTCCTCTAGTCTTACAGGGGGTATGATACCAACGGGGGAACAGAGCGCAGGCCAGGCCTTCCCAACAGAGCTTCCTCAGACTGATGGAAGGGCAGGGTCCCCAAACACCAGCCCCATCTGTGCCCCTAAGCACACAGCACTTCTGTAGCCATTGGCCCCATGCAGGACAGGAGAGTAGGATGTGGGGTCAGGAAGGCACCTTTCTTTGGGAGGGAATCCCAGCCCCTCACCCTCCCTTGTTCTCTCCTGGAGGATCTCAGCACAGAAAGGTATCTGGAGAGGAGGAGCAAGCCAGGGGTCAAGGCTGGGGTGGAGAGCCTGGTGACCACTACAGCCAGGATATAGGACCGCTCCCTCACTCTCCTCTGTAGCAGCAGAGGGTCTCTCTAGGCACCGGGGCTGCCCAAAAACCCCACCATGGACCCAGGTGAGATCCAGCAGCAGCCCCTCCCCCACCATCAGGGGACAGGGTGAAAGCCAAGTTGGGAGAGAGGCAAGGAGGCAGGGCCAGGGGATGGTGAAGAGAAAGGTCAGGATGGTAGCACAAAGGAAAGGCTGACCAGAGCTCAGGATGATAGGAGTGACCACCACAGCCATGAAGCCAGGCCAGGCCTCACCTTTCCCACATCACACATGCCCACATCTGATTCCACCATCTCTCCCCTTAGCCTGAGAACACAGAAGGGCAGGCAGGCAGCACACAAGCCCACATGGCCTCTTACCCTGAGAGCACGCCCAGCACCAGGTTGAGCATGAAGAAGGAGCCAATGATGATGAGAGGGATGAAGTAGAGCCAGTTCCAGGTGTTACCAGCTGCATCATTTGTCTGGAAGCAAAAAGGAGATGAGGAAAAACAGGTGGACAAGACACATAGCCCTGGATGTAGAAGTGCCCTTGGGCCCTCCTCAAATACCTGGCAGGGCCTAGGCAGGGAGTGTTCAGGTGTTCGGGGGTCCAGGCAGGACCCACACCAGACCTGCCTGCCCTTGCCCCACAGAGCTTTCTTTGAAGCTGCCTTGGAGCTCTCAAAGGACCAAGGACAATTAGCACTCCTGGTCACTGCCCAGCAAAGCTGAAAAGCCAAGGAGTAGTTCAGGGAGCCAAAGGCTCCCAGGATACCTGGAAGGCTGTATGCCCAGTCTCTGCTTGGACACCTTTCCTATTCTTCCCAGGTTACTGGACACACCAGTCAGCTCTAAAGACATTTCTCCTGAATGGAGCCCACGGGCACCAGGCCCAAGTCTGATCTTCTGTCTGCAGCAGCTTCCACAGCTCAGAGGCAGTGAGCCCCATGCCATATTTCCCCCATATCAAGAGAAGCCCACAAGTCCCCAGGGAACAGTTCTCACCATGTGCCTGGCTTAAGCCACAAGCCAGCACTCAGGCATGATCTAAAAACTGAATGTAAAGAAGGGCATCTCTCCCAGACCTTATGACTTTCATAGCCTGGGTCTCATGACATAATACCAAAAGTGTTCAGTTTTCAACTGAAACTCATTTGCCATGCCAAGAACCAGAAAAAGCGCAAACTGAATGAAAAAAGGCAATCATTAGATGCCATGATGGTTAATTTTATGTGTCAATTTGACTGGGCCAAAGGGTCCCCAGATATTTAGTCAAACATTATTCTGGGTATTTCTGTAAATGTGTTTTTGGATGAGATTGACATTTTAATTGATAGAGTAAAGCAGATTGCCTTCCATAAGGTGGTAGACCTTATTCAATCAGTTGAAGGTCTGAATAGAACAAAAAAACCCAACTCTCCTCCAGGTAAAAGGAAATTCTCTAGTAGATTGCCTTCAGACTTCATCTGTACCATTGGCTCTATTGGGTCTCCACCTGCTGGCTTTCAGACTGAAATTGTACCACTGTCTCTCCTGGGTCTTGAACCTGCCAGCCTAAACTGCAGATTTGGACTTGCCAAGCTCCATAATCAGAAGAGCCGATTCCTAATAATCAATTGATCAATCTCTCTCTTTCTCTGTCTTCATACATATCTAAATACACACACATACATGTATATATCTTATTGGTTCTATATTTCTGGAGAACCCTAACTGACACAGATTGCCAACACTAAGATGACAGAGATGATAAGAGGAGAAAAATCACAGGTCAATAATAAAATGACAAATTAACCAATTTTAAAATGGGAAAAGAATCTGAATACACATTTCTCCAAAGAAAATATATAAGTGGTGCAATAAGCACATAAAAGATGCTCAATATCATAAGTCATTAAAGGAAATGCAAATCAAAGCCAAAATGAAATACCACTGTGGATAAAAAGGAACACTCATGCACTGTTGGTGGGAACACAAACTGGTGCAGCCACTCTGGAAAACAGCATGGAGGTTCCTCAAAAAGTTAAATATAGAACTACCCTACAACCCAGCAATTGCACTACTGGGTATTTACCTCAAAAATACAAGAACAATAATTCAAAGGGATACATGCACCCCAATGTTTATACCAGCATTATTTATAATAGCCTAGATATGTTAACAGTCCAAGTGTCCATTGATGGACAAATGGATGAAGAAGATGTGATATAGATAGATAGATAGATAGATAGATAGATAGATAGATAGATAGAGATAGAGATAGATATATATGAATATGAAATCTTGCCACTTGCAACAATATGGTTGGAGCTAGAGAGTATTATACTAAGTGAAATAAGTCAATCAGAAAAAGACAATACCATATGATTTCACCCGTATGTGGAATTTAAGAAACAAAACAAATGAGCAAATGGAAAAAAGAAAAAAAGAAACAGAAACAGCAAAACAAACCAAGAAATAGACTCTTAACTATAAAGAACAAACTGATGGTTACCAGAGGGGACATGGGTGGGGGAATGGGTGAAATAGGGGACGAGGATTAAGGAGGGCACTTGTCATGATGAGCACAGGGTGATGTATGGAGGTGCTGAATTACTATATTGTACACCTGAAACTAATAAAACCCTGTAAAAAATAATAGAAATCACTTACATCATGAATGAATGAATATTTTAAAAATTAAATTTTAATTTTACTAGGATGCTTAAAATTAAAAAGACAGCCGATAACAAGTGTTGATGAGAATGTAGAGAATTTAGAATGCTTGTGCACTCCTGCTGGGATGTAGGGTGCTGCAGCCACTGTGGAAATCAGTCTGGCAACTCCTCAAAAGGTTACACACAAAGTTACCATATGATCTAGCAATTCCATTCCTAGGCATATACATAAGGGAAATAAAAATATATTCCACACAAAAACTTGTGTACATTTATTCATAGTAGCATGACTCATAATGTAGAAAAGTTGAAACAACCCAAATTTCCATCAACTGATGAAATATAAACAAAATATGGTATATTCACTTAATGGAATCATATTTGATAATAAAAGCAGTGAGATACTGACACTTGCTACAACATGGACGGACCTTAGAAACACAAAAGTTGACATATCCACTATGATTCCATTTATAGGGAATGTCTAGAATAGACTAACAGACAGAGACAGAAATATATTAATGGTTGCCAGCAGCTGGAGGATGGAAGAATGGGGAGTGACTGCTAATGGACACAGGGTTCCTTTTTGGTGGACAAAAATCTTCAAAAATTAGATAACGCTGATGGTTGCACAACCCTGTGAACATACAAGAGCCATTAACTGTATACTTTAAATTGGTGAATTTCATGGTATGCAAATTATATCTCAACAAAAGTGCTTTTTGGAAAAAAAAATCCATAAAAGAAATCTCTAGACCCAGATTGTAGAATTCTACCAATTATCTAAAAAAGAAATAATACCACTTACATAAACTCTTCTAGAAAATGGAAGAGGAGAAGCTACTTCCTAATTCCTTTTCTAAATCTTGTATTGCCCTCATACCATACCAGACAAGACAATTCAAAAGAGAAGGAAATCACAGACCCAAAGCCCACATGAATATAGATGCCAGAATCCTTAATGAAATATTAACCAATAGAATTAAGCAATATATAAAAATAATTATATACCATGACTATGTGGGGTTTATTCCAAGGATGTCAAGCCATTTCAAAATTCAAAAGTCAATGTAATCCACCATATTAACAGACTAAAGAAAAAAATCACATTATCATATGCAGAAAAAATATTTTATAAAATTCAACACCCATGCATGATAAAACCTCTCAGAAAAGTAGGAATAGGGGAACTGCCTCAATATGATAAAGGGCATCCACAAAAAAACAAAAAAACTTGCAGTTAACATTATATTTAACAGTGAAAAACTGAATGATTTTCCCTAAGATTAGGAACACAGAAATATATCTGTTCTCCCCATTCTTATTTAACATAACGCTGGAAGTTTCAGCCAGTGCACTAAGGCAGGAAAAGGAGCTGGAAGGCATAGAAACATATGTAGGACTTGTATGCTGAAAACTACAAAATGCTGATTAAAGAAATCAAAGGTAATCTGCATAAACTGAGAGATATACCATGTTCATGGACTGGAAGACCCAACATAGTAAAGATGCCAATTCTCCCAAATAAAATAAAATGGGAAAGATCAGTCTACCTGGTTTAAAAGATTTATTTACAGCACAACTACAGTAATGAAGATTGTGTGGTATTGGTAGAGAGGGACACATAGATCACTGGAACAGAAACAGACCCACAGGGCATCTGCCTGGCTAAGTCAGTGGAGCAGGCAACTCTTGATCTCAGTCAGGATTTTGAGTTCAAGCCCCACATTGGGTATAGAGCTTGCTTTAAAAAGGAAAGAAAAAGAAAAAACAGACCCACACAAAATACACCCAACTTTTTGGGCAGAGGTGCAAAAGCAATTCAATGGAGAAAATATAGCCTTTTCAACAAGGGGTGCTAGAGGAACTGGACATTCATAAGCCCAAAAGGTGAAGAAGGAAGAAAGGAAAGAAGGAAAGGAAGAAGGGAGGGAGAGATAGGAAGAAAGAGAGAGAGAGAATCTCAACCTAAACCTCACACTTTATACAAAAATTAACTCAAAATGGATCACAGACTTGCATGTAAAATGTAAAACAATAAAACTTTCTTTTAAAAAAGTAGGCGAAAATCTTCAGAATTTAGGAGTTGGCAAAGAGTTCTTAGACTTGACCCGAAAAGCCCAATCCACAAAAGGAAAAATTGATAACTGGACTTTATCAAAATAAAAAAATGCTTGTTCTGTGAAAAAAAATGCTTGTTCCATGAAAGACCAGCTGAAGAGTATGAAAAATCAAGTTAATGACTAAGAAAAAATATTTGCAAACCGCGTATCTGACAAAGAACTAGTTTCTAGAATATATAAAAATTCCAAAGTAAAATAACAATCCAAACAGATCGTGGACAAAAGATATGAAGAGAGATTTCACTGAGGAAGACATAGGAATAGCAAATAAGTATGAAATGATGCTTAACATCATTAGCCATTAGGAAGTGCAGACTAAAACCATAATGACACATCAGTACACACTTACCAGAATGGCTGAAGTTAAAAACAATGACAACATCAAATACTGGTGAGGATGCTACATTATTCACACACTGCTGGTGGGAGTGTAAAAGGATACAGTCCTCTGGGAAATTTTTAATTTCTTAAAAAACTAAACATGCAACTGTTTTACAAACCAGAAATTGCACTCTTAGGCATTTATCTCAGAAATGAAAATTTATGTTTGCACAAAAACCTGTACACAAATGTGTGGAAGAGCTATGTTCACAACAGCCCCAACCTGGAAACAGTCAGGATGTCCTATAACGGGTGAGTGTTGAGCAAAGTATAAAGTCCACCACACCACAGAAGACTGCTCAGGGATTAAAAAAAAAAAAAGAACCAACTACTGACACACAGTAATCTGGATGAATCCCCAAAGAATCATGTGAGTGAAAGTAGCCAATACTAAAAAGTAACACACAGTATGGTTTCATTTACATAACCTCTTTGAAATTACAGCTATGGCAGACAGATTAGTGGTTCACAGGGATGGAGGGGGAGGGTAAGAGAGAAGTGGGAGTGGCTACAGAAGGGCTACAGGGGGTCCTGCTGGGATGGAACCTTCTGTATCTCCACTGTGTCAGTGTCAGCATTCTGGTTGGGATACAAGCCTTCTTGTATCATTAGAAGGTACATGGGACCTCTCCGTAGATTTCCTACAACTGCATGTAAACCCTCAATTATCTCAAACAAAGTTTAGTTTTACAAAAACAGCCAATCCCCATATCTCCCTGCAGTTACCTCCCACTACACCTCCTGGGAAACTCCTTGCAAGAGAGGACTCTATCTGCCATCCTCATTCCATACTGCCTTCTCCTGAACATTCCAAGACTTTATCCCCACCTCTAACACTGCTCTTGTCAAGTTTAGCAGCATCTTCCTCGACCTCTCAGCAACATCTGACTTGGTTGATCACTTTTTTTTTTTTAAGATTTTATTTATTAATTTGACAGAGAGAGACAGAGTGAGAGAGGGAACACAAGCAGGGGGAGGGGAGAGGGAGAAGCAGGCTTCCCGCGGAGCAGGGAGCCCGATGCGGGGCTCGATCCCAGGACACTGGGATCATGACCTGAGCCGAAGGCAGACACCCAACGACTGAGCCACCCAGGCGCCCTGGTTGATCACTTTCTGAAAACTTTTTTCTTGGCTCTCCTTCCGACACAGCTCATGGTGGTGTTCCTACCCTGCCTCAACGGCTCCACCTTGGTCCCTTTTGCCTGCTCCTTCTTTCCTACTTGGCTTCTGAATGTTGGAATTCCACCAACAGCCAAGTTTGGAGAGGGCTCAGTCTTTGCCCTTCTTTGCTTCTCCTTCTACAAGCTTTGCTGAGAAAATCACATCCTCTCCCAAAATGTTGAACACTATCCATGACCTCAGACAGACACCCTCAGCCCTGCCGTCTCCTCTGAGGTCCCTGTCACATACCCAGCTGTATACGCAGCAACTCCCTTGAATGAAAATAGTTCTCTGAAATGTTATGTGGCCAAAGCAGAGGCCTTGGGCTCCACTACTACTCCACTGAAACAAAACTGAGCAAATAACCTCGCTCCCAAGTCTCCCTTCTCAAGAAAAGGCACCACCTCTCCCAGGGCTGAAGTCACATCCTCTTTGGCTCTTCTTTCCCTCACATTGCACACCCAATTGACGAGCAAGCCCTCCCTGTGCTCAACACACAGCCTTTGCACCCATATATCTGAACACCCCTTCTTCAGATCTTTATGTAACCAGTACGGTGGACATATGCAAAACCATATGTATCTACTCATAAACCAACTTTATTTACCTCCTACTGTCCCTTTGAACATACTCATGTTCCTGGATAAAATTTGGTTAAGTCCTGTGGCTTTTCTGATAACTCCTGGGTAACAGGAAGTTCTAAAATCACTTCAAGTAGAAAACAGTCTCAATTCAGTGATTAAGTGTCCAGTCCCAGGTGGCAATAAACTACTTAACATGCTTTGCACTGAGAATATCCACTCTTTCAGCTGCCTGCTGCAGCTGGCGGCTTTCACGGGGAGATGGGGCATGGTCCCTCTTTGCCCCTCCACACCTAACACTGTTCCTTCTTCCTCAGCTTGCTGTTGGGTTTCTGACCCCAACACCCTCCAAGCAGGGGAGGGGGAGGAGGGGGCAGGCGAGTTGTGCCATGCGAGGCACTGTCCTGAGATCATCTCTTCTCTCTGTGCCTGACAGAAATTTCCTGCTGACTTGTCTCCCACAGGCACTTCTCTGGGTTCTTTTAGGACCCATTTGACTTCTCTTACTTTTCAAAATGCAGGCAAGGCACTTCTCCCTCAGTCGGAGAACTCCCCCACCCACCACTGCCAGTTTTTCAGCAGTCAATCTAAACAGATGTTCTCTGCTGAGCCCTCATCATCCCCCTGGTCAGAATTTAAATGGGCTCCAGGCTGCCCACTACCCCCTGGCTACAGCTGGTCCATGAGAAGCACTCACACATCCTCCTCCCCTGTTCCCAACATCAAGTGTTCTCTCCATCTCTCTCCGTCCGCCCCACTGCTGCGGGCCAATGGCTCCTCCCTCAACATACAGGCACTGTCTTGAGCCTCCACATTCAAGGAGCATGTCTGAAAGGGCCATAAAAGCCGCACTCACTGGGCTGGAGGAGAAGGGTACGTTCTCTCTCCAAAGAACCCCCTTTAAAAACCCTGTCTGATTTGCAACAACCCTCCCTGTTAGTGTGGACAGTGGACCAAGATCTTGGCCACCTGCTCTGGGCACCAGCCTCATAGCTCACCACAGTCATTGTGTCCTGGTGCCTTGCCAAACCCCCAACGCACAATCCCATAGCGCCTGTATGTCTGGCTTCCAGACCTTGCCAGGCCTTGCTTTCACAAGGTTCTCTAACTCATCACTCCTTGCTCCTCATCCTCCTTTGTTGTCTTCAAAACACTTGCCATTATTAGACCTTTACTGAAGGCCTCCTGCTCGCCACTGTACAAGGAGTATCTCAGGGAGTGCCCAGAGAATGGGTTCCATGGAAATATGTGTCTGATGAATCCTCTGTGGCTCTCTTGACCAGTGCCTCCTGCCCCAGGGTCAAGTTCCTGCCCAGCCCCTCCCCCACAGGGAACAGACCCACCAGTCTGAGTCACCTGGGCCGATGGCCAAGTCCCAGTGGGCACCGAAAGCTGCAGAAACCTGTTTTGGCAGTCCTTGTTCAGGTGGGGTTGGCAGGGATGTGGCCAGCTCAGAGCTATTTTTAGGGTCCGTCTTTGGGAAATTATTCTTTGATTGGCTGCAGGAAGAGAACAGCCAAGCTCCTCATAACCGCCTTTGTGCCCATTCCTCTTTTCCTCAATTAAAAAGAGCCTGTCACGAGACACGACCCCCACTCCAAAGAGGGATCTGGTTCAAGGGACTTTGGGCCAGCTTTTCCTTAACTCCTCATCTTCCCTGTGCCGGCTCAATGAGCATTTACCAAGCATTTGCTGGACGCCCAGCCCTGAGATCTACCTGGGTCTCTATGAACCCAGGGAGAAGGCACAGAGCAAAGGGCCCCAGTCTGTCCCTTTCCTCCCATCCATCACGCCACCAGACTACACCACCATCGTTTCCTCCCCAGGCTCCTTGAGGCTGAGGAGCATAGGGCTCCAGGGGCTGATAGCCCAAACCCCACCTCAGCTTACAAGTGGCAGGCTCAACATGAAGTATCTTGTACTGCAGGGTCCTCCACCCACAGTACCCATGCAGAGCACACTCTAGCTATCCAGAACACAGCCATCTACTAGCTGTACCTTTCCAGCCAAACCTTCCAAGACTCCTAGCTTGTGTGTACCTTCTTTCTCTACCTCCCAAAACCCCTGAGGGCCTAATTTAACTGTGCTCATGCCCTGGCGGCTCACAGGGCTATGGGGGGTGGAAGGTAGCTAGGGCTTTTGTCACACAAAAGAAGAGGCAGCGTTCTGCTCAAGCATTCAGGGTAGAGCCCTCCAAGAGGAGCTTCAGGTGGAGGGGAGATGGGGGAGCGAGACGGGTCACCAGGCAAGGGCCTTAGACCAGTTTCTGTCCCGGGCACCAACCCAGACTGCCACTGTGATGGGCAGGTACTCTAATGGGCAAGAGGGTCAAGGGCAAACAGTCCCAGAGAGACGCAGCAGAGAAGACAGAAACGTGCAGGACACACGCCCTGACCCCAGAATCCCAGCGTCATCAGAGAGGTCTCCCTCCACGCCGCTCCGTGCGGCCCTGAACCCTGCCCTGCTCTGTCTTCACCCCACAGCCTAGGGACAAGGCGAGGCCAGCAGGCTCCACCTCCCCTCACTCCATCCAGAACACGCAGCAGGCATGGTAGCGCTGGTAGTCCCGAAGCTGCTGCTAGTCTCACGGCCTTGAGCAAATTAAACAAGCTCTCCATGCCTCAGTTTCTTCCTTGTGTGATGGGGTTCTTTTTTTTTTTTTTTTTTAAAGATTTTATTCATTTATTTGACAGAGAGAGAGGGGACACAAGCAGGGGGCGTGGGAGAGGGAGAAGCAGGCCTCCCGCTGAGCAGGGAGCCCGATGTGGGGCTCGATCCCGGGACCCCGGGATCATGACCTGAGCCGAAGGCAGACGCCCAACCATCTGAGCCACCCAGGCGCCCCTTGTGTGATGGGGTTCTTGAGATGATTCTATGAGTTAACAGGGATGAGGCCCTTCACGCAGGGCCTAACTCGCAACAAGCTTGCGGGGAGCCTGAGGGTCATGCTGCGGCCGTCTCGACCATCAGCCATAGCATCTCTGGAAGTGTCTGCCTGGCCCTCAGTGTTACTTTCAGACGAGAAGCTGTCCTGGAGACTCTAGGACCAAGGTCCAGAGTTTGAGTGGACAGTGATGACAGTGGGCCCTTGGTGGAGCCATCCGAAGGAAAGGCCTATAGTTCATCCTACAGTGGACAAAGGAGCTTGGGACTGGGCAGAGGCTCGTAGGTCAGGAACATCACCCCAAATGAGACCCCAGGAGCTCCAGGGCCCATCCACAGTCCCAGAGCCAAGATGCAACTCACGTTGTAGAGGATGTCAGTCCAGCCCTCCATGGTGATGCACTGGAATACCGTCAAGATGGCAAACAGGATATTGTCAAAGTTGGTGATGCCAAAGTTGGGGCCTGGCCAGTATTCCCGACATTCAGTGTCACCCTCACACAGCCGGGCTGGGGCCTCTTTGCCACAGGGGAAGTCACCCACTGGATCTGGATCTGTGAAGAGAAGAATGAAGCACAGACCCTGAGCCCAGAAACACCAAATTCTCCAACCCCTGCTGGGATTCCTGGGCTGTGGAGACATCGGGGCGGGTGGGGGGTAGGAATCAAGCACCAGTGGAAATCCTCCCTCAACTTCCCACCATCCCTCCGTGCACCGACTTTCTCCCCGTGCCTGCAATCCGCCTTCCCCTGAGCTCAGACCACTCTTCCTCTCGACTAGAACCTGCCCCTCACTGTTTACTTATTCACCTGAAAATCAAAAAAGACAGAGTCCTAACATTCAATTCTCCCGCCCACTACCACCCTGATTTCTCCCTCACAGCCAAGCCACCACCAAGACTCCCGACATGCAGATCTGCCTGTCACTCCGGGGCCAGTACCAAGCTGGAGTCAGCCCCTGCGGTCCCTGCTCATCAGGCAGGTCAGCTCAGAGCTCAAGCCACGTGTGCCCAGAGGCTGGCGGGGTCCCGCCGCGCCCAGGCCTCACTGCGCTGGCCCCTGCAGAGTCCATGTGCTTCCACCAGCCCTGATAGGAGGTTTTTGAAAATATGAATGATTTAAATTTTAGCAAAAGCTTTCTCTGCATCGATTGAGATGAACATATGGTTTATCTGCCTCACTGCAAAATACACCCAGAACCCAACCCGTTCTGACCACCTCCCCAAAACAGCCTGGCCACAGCCACCATCTCCTCTGGATGGAGATATTAGCCTCCTACTCGAGCCTGTTTCTGCCTCTGCCCTCCTGGAGCACTCAGAACAATGAGATGACATCACTCCTCATTCAGAGCCCTCCACCACCTTCCTGACTTCTCTCCGAATAAGCCTCAGAGTTCCCACCACAGCCACGGAGCCCGCGTGATTTCCCCTCTGTTCTCTTTGCTCCTCACTCTGGCCTCTGCACGCACTGTTCCTTGTAACTGGAGCTCTCTGGCCCGTTGGCCACCCAGCAATCCCCCTCACCGCACTCTCATCACTGCTAGGTGGTCACCTCAGGAGAGAGGCCTCCCCTGGCTGGTCTCTGTGAAGCAGGCTCCCAAACTGTTCTATTGCAAATTCTCCTTCTGTTTTTCGCTGGAAGTTACTACGATCTGTGATCATTGTGTTTATGTGTTTCTTCACATATGTGTTTTCCAGGTTGCGGTGTGTGTCCCCAACTGGAACATAAGCTCCACCCCATTCACCTGGCACCTAGGGCAGGGCCTATCTCCAGGATGAATGAGTCCGAGGGGCACTGCCAGGCCTCACCTGTGCCGTTGGGGAAACAGGCCTTGTGGAATTTGCCCATGTAGAACTCGAGGCCGATGATCGCGAACATAAGGATGGCGAAGAAGAGAAGCAGCCCAATCTGCAGGAGTGGAACCATGGCCTTCATGATGGACTTGAGCACCACCTGCAAACCTGGGCCAGAGCAGCCACAGCAGGGCAGGTCAGAGGAGAGTGGGCAGTGCAGGAGCGTGGGTGGGGGTGTGCGCAGACCAGCCAGAGCCTGGGCTGGGCAGCACTGGGGGTCCCGGGGCAAGGTGCTGAGTTGGGAGCCCTCAAAGTAGGGAATGGAGCAGGGAGTATGGGGAAGCATGAGTCTTGGGGGAATAGCATGTGCTTACAGGAGAGTCCTCAGGGTAGGGGACCAAACGTAATTCTTGGAGGGAAGTGGACAAGCAATGTCCCAAAGCAGAGGAGAAGCAGTGTGTGGGGTGTCAGAGTATGAAGTCTGGGGAGGGATGTGCACCTATGGAGGGCTCTGGGTGGCAAAGCGAGAGCAGAGAGTCCTAAGGGGAAAGGTGAGGGGGTGCTGGGAGAGAGAAGCAGAAGATTCTGGCGGCTGAGAGCAGGAGATCTTGGGAGGGAAGTACAGGAGTTCCCAACAGGCCCAGTTCCTTAGGGACCTGAAGCAAAGGACCCGCTCACAGGAGTGCTGGACCACTAACCATGAGGCATGGCTCTGTCCAGGCCAAAGGAACTCAGCACACAGAGGAAGCTCAACCCCATTGCCTCCTTCCCACCTGGCCCCAGCTCTTAGATACAGGCCTTTGCTTTCGCCTGGCAGGGTCGCGGGGCAGAACGGGGGCTTCCCTGAAGTGGCCTCAGGGAGTCACAGCCCTAGGTCCCTGCCCACCTGGGGCTCTGAGAGAAACCCAACACCAAGGTAACCCTGGCCATTCTCCTGCCCAGGCTTGGCTCCTTGAGCAGCTGAATCCAGGAGCATGTCTTAACCTGGCCTCAGTTGTCCATGGCCCTGCCAAGCCTGATCCAAGACAGGTGATCCTTTGCAGCCTCTGGCTATCTTCTCAGGCATCCTGCCCACCACATTCTCAATCTCTTATCTGTACTTTAACCCCAGAAAAAGAAGCAAAGAGCTGGAAATATAGCAGAGAATGTGAGGAGAAGCAAAGCTTCCAGCTGGGGAAGCCAAGTCAGGGCAAAACAACAGGGCCACTTTCTGGGCCTCTTCACACCTGGTTCCCGGGGGTCAGGAGCACTGAGCTTAGAGTCACCAAAGCCAAAGGGGCCACTGGTTAGGGCTTAACTATGTCCATGGCCATGGTGGAGTTGGGGGAGGAGGTTAGTGATCCAGGTAGGCTTGGGCCTAATTGCTCTTGCCAGACTCACTCGGAATCCCAGACACCAACTTCAGGGGCCTGAGCACGCGCACAGCCCGCAGGGTCCGCAGGTCAAAGTCAGTGCCAGCCGTGGCCAGGATCCTGGCAGGAAAAGAGAAGGAGGAAACTAAAGGCTTCCATATTCAGGTGAGAGAACACATGCCCCACCACCCCATGTCCTGTCTCCCAAGAACAGTGACACCATTTTGCCTGTGTCCTCCACTGTCCAAACACAGGGCTGGCACAGGGTATGAGACTTGCCAGGCAGGAGGAGGCAGGGACTCAATTCAGACGTCCCCACAGTAATGTTAGCAATGGCTGTTTCCAGCATGACCATCCCTCCAGCTCGAAGGAATCACCCTGAGAGGACACTTGGTCTCTGGCGCCTGGCCTGGCCTTGAATCTGCCCTCCAACTAAATCCAAGCCAGAACCAGGTCCCCAAACCAACCCCAATTGCACTGCAAACAGCCTCATAAGAGGTGGTGAGGAGTGGAAACAGGGGTAAAACAGAGGCTGAGGTTCCTGAGCAGGCACCACACATGCCCTTCTTCACCTTCTCTCAGGAGAACAGTGGGGTGGGGCAGGGAAGGTGGAAGAGAGGGTTCAGGGGACTCAGGAAAGCCATCATAATCAGTTCCATTAGCAGAAAACATATTCCAATGTCTCCCATTTCAAAAAAACAAAAGATCTGATATCCACCTCTCAGCACGGCACATTTCTCTGCTCCCTTCACACCAAAGCTCAATCAGAGTGTCAGTCCTGGGTCTCCCCACCACCGTATCTTCCTGTCCCCATTAGGCTCTCACCCACACCACTCCGCTGATATGTCGTTCGAGCCTGTGTCTTGCCAACTCCGGAGGTCAAGTCTCCCTCTCTAAACAGTTTCTTCTCTGTCCTTTGGTCAACTCTCTCATTTCCCTCGAATTCCTCAGGAGCCCCTCCAGGTCTCGACTGCCACCTTTGTCTCGTCCACCAGACTTGAGAAGTGGATGCCCTGGGGCTCACTCCCAACAGGATCTACGCCATAGCTCTGAATACCACAGCATGCTTATCACTCATAACCACACACCTTTAACTCAGATCTAGAACTGAGGACTCACACATCCAGCTGCCTTTTTAACATTTCCACTTGGTTATCAAAAAAGTGTATCAAGCATTATATAATTAAAGAACTATTTTTTAAGCGTTAATGTTTAAAAGTGTTGAAACATGTATTTCAACACTTAGAAAGTCCAGAGCTGTTCCATTGTGGTGACTAAAAACTTTGATTCTTACCCCCAGCCTTGCTTCTTCCCCCATACCCACTCAGGGAGCACTATTCATCAATTGTTATTTCAGCCAAAATCAGGGATTCACCCCTGACTCCTCTCTTTCCCTCACTTTACATTCAATGCACCAACAATCCTGGCGGCTCTGCATCCTGGACTCTTGGTGAAGAAGGCTCTTGAGATATGTGGCAGTGAGAATAGAAATTGAGATGGAACTATGGTCAAAATAAGATGAAACTCTCAGTGGAAAGGAAAAGAGAGGCAACCAAAAAATAATCTATTCAAACCAAAAGTCCAGAGCACATGAAGAAACCCAATGCTATGAGAGACATTCAACTACCAAAATTGACTACTGGAAGATTAATTTTGTTCAGATGAAATCAACAAATTATGAAACAAACACAGCCAGAAACAGGTAGGTATTTTAAACACTAGCTAGTTTTGTCAATAAACAAATAGTTATTAAAATAATATCAATAATAATAATAATAAATTACACTCTGGGCTGAAGACACGGTTTGAGAGCATTAATGATTTGGAAAATAGTACAGAGGCTAGTACTGAAGAACTCAGCCACAGACATCAAAAAACCAAAGAAGGAACATGAGAGAGAAATTGAGCAAAACAGAGGTTAGATCATATGCCCAGCACACATCCAGTGTGAGCTGTGGAAGAGAACAGGAGAGATGGTGAAGAAGCGACATTTGATCCATTTACAATAGTATCAAGAAAGAATGAAATACTTAGGAGTAAAGTTAGCCAAGGAGGTGAAAGATTTGTACACTGAAAACTACAAAACATTGCTGAAGGAAATTAAACAACACTAAACAAACTTAAAGACATCCCAGAAACTAGAAACCTTAATATTGTTAAATGTCCACACTACCCAAGCAAACTACAGATTCAATGCAATCCCTATCAAAACTCCAATGACACTTTTTGCAGAAATAGAAAAATTCATCCTAAAATTCACATGGAATCTCGAGGGGGGAACCCTGAATAACCAAAGCAATCTTGAAAAAGAACAAAATTGAAAGACTCATATTTTCTGATTTCAAAACTTACTACAAAGCTACAGTAATCAAAATAATGTGGTACTGGCATAAAGACAGACATACAGACCCACAGAATAAAACAATAACCCAAAAACAAATCCTCACACATACAGTCGATTGATATTCAATAACAGTGCCCACACCATTCAATGGGGAAAAGACAGTCTTTTTACCAAATTGGGCTGGGAAAACTGAATATCAACATGAAAAAAAAAATAAGTTGGACCCTTAGCGTATATGGAAAAAGTACCTCAAAATGGATCTTTGCTTATCTAAACGTAAGACCTTAAACTATGAAACTCTTAGGGAAAAAAATAGGAGAAAATCTTCATGGCATTGGATTTGGCAATGATTTCTTGGATATGACACCAAAAGCCTGGGCAATAAAAGGAAAACACATTGGACTTCATCAAAATTTAAAACTTTTGTGCATCAAAGGTCCCTATCAAGAGAGTAAAAAGGCAACCTACAGTGTGGGAGAAAATATTCACAAATCATTTGTCTTATAAGGGATTAATATCCAGAATGCATAAAGAACTCCTACAACTCAACAACAACAAAAACCCAATTTAAAAATAGGCAAAGGACTTGAATGGATATTTCTAAAAAATAAAGATACACAAATGGCCAATACGTACACGAAAAGATGCTCAACATCACTAACCAGTGGGGAAATGCAAATCAAAACTACACTGAGCTACCATCTAACACCCATTAGGATGGCTAGTATTAAAAAAGAATAGAAATGTTTAAGTGCTAGTGAGGATGTGGAGAAACTGGGACCTTGTGCGCTGTTGGTGGGAATGTAAAATGGTGCAGCTGTTGTGGAAAACCATATGGCAGTTCTTCAAAAAAGTTGAACGTAGAATGACCATGTGATCCAGCAATTCCACCTTTAGGTATGTAACAAAAGAACTGAAAGCAGGGTCTAAGAGATATTTGTTCAGCTCATAGCACCGTTACTCACAATAGCTAAAAGGTGGAAGGAACCCAAGTGTACATTAACGGATGAAGGGAGAAGCAAGTTATGGTATTTACATACAGTGGGGTATTAATCAGCCTTAAAAAGGAAAGAAATTCTAACAGAAGATGCAACATGGATGAACCTTGAGGACACAATGCTGGTAAAATAAGCCAGTCACAAAAAAACCCCACAAATACTGCTGATTCCATTCACATGAGGTACTTAGAGCTGTTAAAATCATACAGACAGAGAGTAGAATGGGGGCTGCCAGGGTCTGAGAGGAGAGCTGGCAAGTTAGGGTTTAACGGGGACAGAGTTTCAGATTTGCAAGGTGAACAGAGTCCTGGAGACAATGGGTAGTGTTGGCTACATTTAACACCACTGACTGCACTTAACAGTGACTCAGATGCTTGGGGCGCCTGGGGGGCTCAGGC